TCAAATAAATTAGCTTTACAACCTACCATGCTACCCTCAAATTTCATTTCTAGCTCCTTTTAAGGTTTGAGGGAGAGATAACAAACTAGGAGACTTACTCCTAAGTTCCTGCAAAAGCTGCCCTCAGGAAAGGGAACCTAGCAGGAGCCCTAGAAATGGGGCATGGAAGTGTCCTTGGCCCAGGACATGCGTGTGTATGCAAGGAGGGCAGGCAGAATATCTGTCTCTCTAAAGCCTGACATGCATATTCACATTCACCTGCTTTCTCTTGCAGTGAAAAACTTGAAAAGGCTGGAGACAACAGGACCCAATTCATTCCATTACATCCATTCCTTTCCTCCTGCACCAGCTGAACTTGAATCAGCTCCAGCTTTGAAGTTTCTAGCTTTGGTGCCTCTTTCTGGAGGTTACACAGAGCTTTGTCCAACTGGAATTTCATGATTGATTCTGAATTCACTTTCCTTACCCTCTCCCTCTTCACACACAGGACAACAACTGGGCATCTCATACATCCCATCCCATACATATTCATCCTTCTCCAGCCTTGGGCAGGCAAGAGCAAAGCAGGTATCACAGCCCTGCCAGAGGTTAGTGACATTCCATCAAGCTTTATTAAACTCAGATAAATGGGATAATGGATACTGAAAAATAAGATAAAACAGAATAGTTCTGAGGTGTCTAGTGCAATAAGGGATGGGAAGAGAGATGTGAGAGTCTCTTGTCTTTTTTTTTTTTTCCTTGAATTTGGTATATCAGGCAATTTAATACTTCCTATACTTGCTATCACAGGCCAGCTTCACTGAAGGTGGAAATAAATGCCAGGGGAACCTTACTAAGTATCACACATTTTTACCTCTCCAGAGCAGAAAGTATTTGGGGGCATATTTATGTCTTCTAGAAAGGTGTCTGGATGACTGCATGAACTTAGTTACTTACCATAACTTCACATCACTTACACCTATATATATATATATATATATACCATAACTTAAAGTGAGGGAAGTCAGATGACCTCTAGCCTTAGGAAGCCTGATCCTAACTCTCTATACAGTCAGTTGAGAGATAAGATATATGTTGAAGCCACTTGCTATAGCTCTGACAGCAATATGTCACCTCCTGCTCTTTGGATCTCGGGAACACGGAAGCCAGAAGTGGCTCTCAGTGTGCTGTGGGTACCACAATAGATGCTGGGACCTCGAGTAGACAGTGGACCTGAGATAAACACAAAATCAATGCAGAGGAAGCTATAAACACAAAGGCAGAGGCAGTTTTCAGGTGGAATGACTGGACCAGGAGAGGTCCAAATGCGTAGGTAATCGCTAGGGTTTTAGGTAACCCCTAGGGTTACTCAGTGGAGGTTGAGTAACAACAGAGGCAGTCAGGTCTATGTGTAGACAGTTTCCTTTAGGGAAGCTTTCTTATGGAGGAAAGCACTGTACAGACACTGCACAACTAAAAAGGCATTGTCATTTTTCCCTTGAATGGAGGATTGCTATACAAGGCAAACCTAAAATTTGTAATCCCTTCAACTGGAAGTGTTTAAAGAGTAAAGCTAAAGATCAGGGTGAAATGCTCTGTTAAGGAGACGGGAAGTATCATTTCTCCTTATGCACAAAACGTGTTTCTACGCCACAGCCATGAAACCATTTTCTACAGCTGGCAATGCACATCAGTCGGAAGACAACACAACTGATCCAGACATGTCCAGCATGTAGAATCACAGAATCTCTCAGCCTTGACTGAGTGACTGAGATCCATTTTTTTCCAACGACAAAATAACAGCCCACAAGTCAGTATCTATTCTGATACAGGCTAGATATCGTGGCTGCTTCAGTTTCTCTCTTTTGAACTTGAGGAGAAAAAGAGATCATTTCATGGAATCAGAAATGCGGGAACTTTTTTGTTGCATAGAAGTTTTGCAAGAGCAAAGCAAAAAAAAAAAATCTGAGTTCTTCATGTCTATTTTCTCTGAACTTCAGCCAAACTGCCGATTTGAAACTCATATCATGGCTTAGTGTATGGAAACTCAAATAAAATTAGTTCTGTCAGTTAGAAAAGAAGCCAACAATGTGAAATAATAGAAGAAAGTTGAGTCAGATGGCCTGAAGTTTTCTGTTAGTAAAAATAATCACAACTAGCTTTATAGCACAGCTGCAAAAAGATAGCATTTCTTGGATTCAGCTTGCCTTTGTATATTTTTTTCACGTATATACAATAATTTTCCAACTATACCTTCTATTGCTATTTCTTTCCCTTCCCTCACCCTTTCAGTTTATTGGGAGTGAATTATTTCTGTATTTCATTTGTGTTCGCCTTTCCCAGAATAAGGTTTTCAAGAAGTTCACTGATGATGTTCTGGCTTTTTCAGGGAAAAGAATCTAAGCACAAACTCTCAGGATTTTCCCACATTTTAAGTCGCTTTATATCTTGCATTCTGACACAGATGAAATCCACAAGACAGTTCAAACAAGTGGGCTGCTAGCCTCTCTCTGTTTCTATGGAAATGAATGTCAGAGCAGTTAAAACAAAGCACATGCTTTACAGTAATCACTATATGGTGATTATTTAAAATAACGTAGTACATTTTTCCTGATTCAACCTCTATTTCTATGGCTACCAGAAGGAAAACAGAGAAGCGTCTCTTGTAGATGTCATTTGAAGCTGTTTCCTGGATGCTGTAAGTTCTTGCAAGATGCTACAAATTTTAAGCTCTAGCAAGATCTTCAAGTGTGCAGTAATTTCACCTTGACCAATTCTGCATGCTGTTGTTTAGAGACATTCTTACAGATGTGAGTGGAAGTTTGAAGGAATATACAGTACGGGACTTAGGCCCACAGGTTTAAAAGTAGGGCAAATATTTGCTGTTCCCTGCCATTTTTTTGACTCATCTGAGAGAGGATAAAACTAGCTAACATGTTCTGAGTTTTGTGATCATAAGCTCTTTCTTGCATGTTCAGCTCCTGGCCTAACTAATCACGTCATAGTCATATTGACCTTGGCCATTTCACAAGAAAACAGTAAGAGGTAGCACATGAAGTTCATAAAACAAATCTCCTCCTATTTCATTTTGTCTGAATCCCACCGTGACTTCCTCACTACATGCAGCAAAAAGAGATCACTCTTCGTTATCCTCCTTAACGTTCTCAGTCTTACTGACAGCTCTCCTGTATACAGATTATTTTTTTCTATCCGTACACCCAGCATGCTGGGCACTTGCACAGGCATGAAGCAGGAGACATCCATCACCCCACAACAACAAATACCGCTGGAAAGGACAAAAAAAAATTAGATCTAAGGTGTGTGTGGGGGAAAGGCTTTGTTGTCCATGGCCTCCTAAGATATTAAAGTTATATTTGATCACTTCCTGAAGTGTATCTTCAAAGATACACTTCAAGAGAGTACACATCTTGCCTCTCAGCTTAGGAACATTAGGACAGAGCTGCTGAGTGGACCACGTTGTTGGAAATCAGCCCATTTTCTTGTGAAAATACATTATTATCGGCTTATGAGGCTGTCTTTTAGCTCATTGTTGAGACTGTTTTAATATGTATTTAGGCTAAGATTTTTCACATATACTAATTTACTAATAATATTGTGTACTTGAAATTCTAGACAATGGCTTCTTACAGCCCCATTGGTTCTGCTCTCAGTGAAGCCAGTTGCAAAGCTCCCTCCGATTTCAGTGTCACAGAATCAGTGACAAAACACTGAACTAACAGTGTCTTTTCTAAAAGCCTCAGAATATGAAGCTTCAAGGTCTCGCAAGTTAGGCATGTAAAGGCTAAAGCATGCAAAATTGGGAGCATTTCTGAAAATACTAGCCCTAAACAATATCTTATCAGTGCCAGGTAAGTGCTTAGCATTTTTTGAGATCCAGACCTCATAACATCTCAACTTAAGAATTCAAAAAACAAAAGCAAATAGCAGAAAAATGAAAGTAATGGTGCATAGCTTGCACATGTTTCTTTCTCCTTAGGACTATAAGGTAATCAATGGTGATCCCTTGAAGAGATGCTCAGTGTCTATGGTTAAACCAAACCAGGCCTAGTGGTTGTGACTAGTGACTGTTGTTGCATGTATATAAGGCGGGAAGGATTTCAGTACACAGGGGAGCTATCCTTTTTCCTCCTCTGGATATAGCTAACCTAGAGGGCCACAGGTCCTGCTCTGCACATTGAATTACAGGCCTTATTTGGTTTATCACGAGAAGATATCAATAGCCGCCTTCAGCTTATGCCTCCTGCAGCTCTTTCCAGCCTGCCTGCTGTCCTTCCCACTCCTCTGTTCTCTTCCTCTCTTGTCTGATCTTCCCATCCGCCTTCAGCACCTGGGCAAGGAGCCTGATTCCCGGCTCATTCTGAGCCCTGGCTCCAAAGCCTGGTGCTAATGCATGTCCGTGCTGCTGACACTGCAGCCGAGTTGGGTCCTTTGATATTGATACGGCTCTAGTGTAATGGTAGGGGAGATAAACTGTCATTAGTCAGGTTTTAAAATGCACTCCTCTAGCTATTCGGAAAAAATGCTGCTCCAGTTAAAATTGCTAAGAGACTTGGAGAAAGGGTTGTTTTATTTTTTGCACCCAGAGCAAAAGCAGTTGTGGTTTATCTAAAGTGCTGCAGTTGCTTATGCCAGAAATGCCCTGGCATTACGAGGCAGTTTCAGAGGAGTTATTGCCTCAGTCCAAGCTACCTGTGCAGCTCCTGAGCCTATACGTGATCCTGGTGCATCACTCACACCCCACTGCCCAGGCCAATGTTGCCAAACTTCCGCAGTTCAGGCCTTACAGTGTCCATATGTCCAGCGTGTCAGCGGGCACTGAGCTGGATCAGTGGGAAGGAAGCAGGAGTGAAGGGTGCAGTGCACTTGGACGAGAGATGGCGAAAGGGTTATGGTGTTGGACTGCGCTGGGCATATTGCTTTCTTGTGAGGCTGTGCTGAGGAAGTGGTCCACCTGTCAGCAGCATCCAACCTCTCATTCTCTGTGATCTAATCTTTCAGACATGGCTGGTCGAAGAGGGAAGGTTGTGATGAACAGCCCTATCTCCCATAACATGGACTTGCATGAAGAATTTATGGCTGAAACCAGAAGAGAGAGCTTGGTGAAGCTAGTAGGCAAGAACTGGCCAAACCTACCAAAATAGCTCCTCTTCAGGACTGCATCTTGGGTCAGGATCCTAGCGCTAGGAATAAAGTTGATGTTGGGGGAGGTAAAGGCAAAATAGTCGAGACTGCAGTACTGAGCTTGGATTGTTACTAGAAACGCTCTGCTCAAGCCAGAAAAGGCTTCTGAGATGGGGCTGATGCAGGAAAGGGTCACTCGGGCTGGTTAATTCTGTATCTGGAGCTATTTATTGAACGAGGAATAGAGCTAAGCTTCATGTGAGGAATTGGGAATTATTCTTCTGAGCAGCAAATGTCAAGGGGATGACATGCATCCTGGCTGTGTTCATCTGGCAGGAATCACAGGAGCCTCTCTCAGCTTACTGCAAACTGAGGCAGCTCAGATATTAATACTTGATTCCTTCACTGCTTGCATCCGTTGAGCCTGCAGGTACAATGGAGCAGAGCAGCGTGGTCTTAGCCTGAACTCTCATTCTCTGAGTGGGCGTGCACAAATGCAGCCTGCCAGAAAACAAACTGAGGGAGCAAAAATGTCACAGGTGTCATAGCCTCTCTCAGCTTACTGCAAACTGAGGCAGCTCAGATATTAATACTTGATTCCTTCACTGCTTGCATCCGTTGAGCCTGCAGGTACAATGGAGCAGAGCAGCGTGGTCTTAGCCTGAACTCTCATTCTTTGAGTGGGCGTCCACAAATGCAGCCTGTCAGAAAACAAACTGAGGGAGCAAAAATGTCACAGGTGTCACAGAGAAAGAAAAAGACACAGGCTCAAAGTAAGGCAAGAAAATGGAAATAATATGTTTGAAATAAACCTCACAATTAACTGGGTCATCCCTCATCAAAGCCTGTGGCAACTACTAAGGCTGCGAGGGGAGAGAATAAATTGAACTTGAAGTTAAAGTTAAGTTACTTTTGTTTGCATTTTACAGTGATAAGGTTTTTTTTTTTTTTTTTTTTTTTTTTGTACTAGATGTTCTTTGGAATCTGGTGTCAGGATAGTGATCAGACCTGCCAATCTGACAACTGTGCTTTCATTTGTAAGATATTTCCAGTATGTGTGCTTTGAGCTTTCTAAAAGCTGTTTTAAATATATATTTTCTCCCATTACATCAGCTCTGGCCTTCTTTTCATCCCCTCAAACAAGCAAACAACCAACAATTCCTTCTGGAGAGGAAACCATCTATCTTCAGTGTTTTGTGTCCACAACATTTTCTGGAATTGCAAATGTATTTTTTTTTGTCTGCATATTTTCAATTCACTCCGAAGAAAACTCTAAGGCGAAATAAAAGATTCTCCTCATCCAGAACAAGCCATCATTAATGTTTTATGGAAGAATTCAGCAATCTATCCTTTCACACAGAAGTTGATACACTACGCTGAATTCCTAATGAAACTGTTATTGAAAGCAAGCATAAAAATAGTTAAACCTAATGAGTCTCAAAATATCCTAAATGATGAGCAGAGTTTGAATGGACAGTATGACTTAACTAGCAGCACCAAGATGCTTTCTGAGTCTCGTTTTTCTAAGTTAATTTTTAAAAGTCCTTATGTCTGGTATCTAAAGTTTATATTTTCTCTTGTTATTTTTTTCCCAGCCCAATGCTCTTTTTTTTTTTCTTTCTTTCTTTTATGCTTTGTGCCTCCTTACTTCACATTCCCTCATTTTTCCCCACTTTTCTCAAAATATTGCAGCATCTTCTATCAATGTTAAAGCATTTGTTCACCTTAAGCCCTAGCATGGCTGTTAATGTTGCCCTCTTCTGGACAACATTTTATTAACAGCGTTAATTTCTGTAATGAAAAACATAAAAAAAAGTTGCTTATAAAATAGGGGGAAAATATCCATTTTGCGTAGAACTGTAGCTTGATTTTCATTTTCTCTTTTTCACGTAGGTCTTGATTTCCCACTACTGTTTCAACTGCTGGTGGTTAGGGTGCAACAGCGCATCGGGACAGGATTCTTTCTTCCCCATCCCTCCACGTTACCTGGAGGGATATCCGCTCGGGACACTCCGCAGTTACCGGAAGCGAAGCCGCTGCGGGCAGCCCA